ACTACTTATATCTGTCAAAATCAGGAGCACACACCACAATAGTACTTTGGATATGGTGTAGAATTTCATGCTATTTATTTGATTTTTATTACTTTAAATCATGTAAATATTGAGATTAACGTTAGTTCTAGCTCTAGATCGTGTTAGATCTGTTCAAGATATTGTTTACCTTTATTTTTCATTCTTTTGATTGATTTTACCACAGTTGTTTAGATTTATTAATGTTGTGACAGAACATTTTATGGACCATAATTTAGTTTCTTGGCATTTTATTGGTACAAACCATGAATTTCTTGATGAATCTTGGTAATACCTTTTCCTCTGATCTCTCCTGTTCTTCTCATATCTTACTGTTACCGAATAAAGTTTTCCGTCTGACTTATTACATAAAGAGGCTGCATGCTTTTGGAATTACTCGGCGTTTACTCTCACTATTTGTCAATCCTTGAATATTACCGATTATACTTTACTGTTCTCTATTATTCTTCCCAGGACTTTTGAGAGAAGAATTTGCTACATTACGAAGACTGCTGAAGGTGGTTAACTAGGTGTATGGTGAATCTTTTGAGGTCATTATTAATATGGTTGTGGATAGACACATAAAGTCTTGCAAACTTGTTATGTCTCGACAAGAATAATGAATGGTAACTTTTGGGATCTATTGATGAATCAATACTAAACGTATATTCTATTGTATAATTATTAAGTAACTAAACGATGCATATTCATATTTCTCTTATTATAAGCTTTATTTTGACCCATAAACTATTATTATACGTTTTACCATTTTTGAGTTATACCCCGTATAATAATTACTACCTCCCTCATTCGCAGCCACATTTGGCTAATTCTTGTACAAATGTTGTTTCCTATTTTATTGGTACGTTGTGATCGGTTTGATTGGTACATAAACTCAGTATGTTTGAAATATAATGATTCATATTGCAGAGGCTGATATTGGTGTTCTGGACTTAACTGGCTGGTCTAGGCGAAAAGCAGGACATATCAGGACTCTAGACTGCTCGCACGTGTTTACGCGTCCTTTAGTCCGATCGATAATTCCCTGCTTCTGATTGGTGACCTTAAGTTATAACAAAACTCCTGGCAAGTGTTTTCTTAACAGATACTAACCATCCCCTTCATTCATATCTTTCTCCTTCTATATTTTCCGGAAGAACGAGACGTCAAGACATTAAAATCTATGCACTCAAGCAAAAGTATAAAAGTTCTATAATATTTTATCCAGCAAGTATACTCTGTGACGAACAGGTTATTAGAGTTGATCTAGTCAATAAACTGTATTCTTGAACAAGCTTCTAATTGAATTGTTGTACAGATTCAAATCTTTCTTTTAATCTTTTTCCTCTCTTTTTCTTTTCTCTGTTTTTGTGAGAGAAACTTGTTGAAATACCCCATGCTGAGGATTCTTCATTGTACCAAAAACATTATATTGAATGGAGCCATTAATAATGATAATATTAATAATAATCAGCATGTAATTGATCAATAAAGATGATAGATATATCGGTCATTTTTATGAATCGTTTCATATGACATGGAATTATACGAACCAAAATACAGTGCTAATACTTTGCTAAATGTAGCTTTGAAATGCACAAGTTTTACCTAAAAACAACCCCGCCCATAATTTCAAGCCTAACATTAATTCTAAGCAAAATTAACTGACTTAAAGACATGTGTAGTATAATGCACAGTAAGAAAATGACAGTAAAAAATACGAATATCATAAACTCTACATCTTGAATTGCAAACATAATTAGAATGTATCAGAAGGGGTTTTGTGCATATTGTAGTAATTTTAGTAGTTGAGATCACGAGTCTATTGAAGCTGGACCACCATGGAGAACTTGAAAGCACTGGGTGGCCGTTTCGTCCTATTGTGGGACTCATCAGCAAAGCACATCCACAATCACGCATCGCGATATTCAAAACCATGACCTATCGGTCTCGCGCGTGATTGTCTAACCTCTAAATCACTGGTGAAGTTTAGCCGGGTCTGTTGTGATATAGTAACTCACTGACGGCAATGATGGATGTATCCTTCAATTTCATGGATTAGCTGAATTTAGACATGAACACAGTTGGATGACGGTTTAATGGTCTGGTTGTTAAGCGTTTGCACGCGAGAAAGATAGGTCCTGGGTTCGAATCTCGTGGGAGGCATGGTCGTGGATGCACACTGCTGAGGAGTCCCATAGTAGAACGAAACGGCTGTCCAGTGCTTCCAAGTTTTCCATGGTGGTCTAGCTTCAATTGACTCATGAATTCAACCAATATAATAATTAGAATGTATTGTTTCAAATTATTATTATTATGAATGGCTTTATTCAATATTATATTATTGGCACAACATCGGATTCTCAGCACAAAATATTTCTCCAACTTTCCGTTTCTTATTTCTTGATCGATTCAAATGGTAAATATTGAGTGATCTTTAGTTAGATGTTAGCAATTCACGAATCGACATCTAAATAATATACATTCTTTTTAATGGATATTGTCAGCCACTACGATATCTCTGATTAGTCTCTTTTATAACATGTACAGCGAAATGTTCTAAACGTTTCACAAAAACACTTGAATAGGTTCTAAGACTACTAGGCATATTGATGTGTTAAAACAAACAAAAGACAGATAACTTTTTGAACTATCTATTTGACTAGGACAGGTAGTTCAGATAATTAAGTAGGTTGTCAATTTGTGTTTGTTTAGTCCATTAAACAAACCGAATATTACGTAATATTACACAACAACATGTCTATAATAAATTGAATAACTCTAGCCTATATTCTTAAGATTACATATTTGTTTCTCTCATTTAAATATATTCTTGCATAGTTGCTGGTTATTGTGATTTATTAAACATATTTTGTCTAGTATTATGTTAAATGAAGCATGATCCGATCATCCAGTAATGAAGCTTTTCTTTATTTCACTGGCTGAAATCATGAGTCAATTGAAGCTAGGCCATCATGAAAAACCTGGAAGCACTGGACAACCGTTTCATCCTAGTATGGGACTCCTGAGCAGTGCGCATCCACGATCGCGCACCCCGCGGGATTCGAATCCAGGACCTACCGGTTACGCGCACGAGCACTTAACCATTAGACCACTGAGCCGGCATCCAATGGTGCTAATGTCTAACTTCTTTATTTGCCAAACCTATTAAGAATATTTACCTAGTGGTTGATTCAGTTGCTATTTATCATCAACTAATTGTATGCTTAGAAGGCTTTCAAGAGAAAAGAAAATGAACATTACGTTTATTGTTGTAAAGACAAGAAATACTTTTAAAATACTAATGATTATAAAATGAAGTATATTCTTCAAGTTTTTTAATCATTGCTTTTTAGCTACCTATTTTATGCTTCATTGTCTACCTACGTATTGAATGCTTGTATATGAAGTATTACTATGAGGTGAGGTCTAATAATTTGTGTACATAAAGCAATCATTTTTAAAATAACATATTAAGCAATTGAAATATAGAAAAATCGAAGATTGCTCACTGTGTCTTTTGTTGGACTCATGATTAGGCATAAATTCTGTTGTATCCCGATAAGAATAATGAATGGTAAGTGTTGGGATCAATTTATGGAGCAATACTATACGTATATTTTTTAGCGTATAATCGTTAAATAACTAAACTATTAATATTCATGTCCCTCTTATTATGAGCTTTATTTTGACCAATGAACTATTATTATACGATTTACGATTCTTGAGTTATTCCCAGTATATTAACTACTACCTCCTTCATTCACAGCCACATCTGGCTAATTCTCGTACAAATGTTGTTTTCTATTTTATAGTACGTTGTGGTCTGTCTGGTTGGTATATAAACCCCGTATGCTTGAAATAAATGGTTCATATCTCAGAAGGTGAGATTGGTGTTCTGGACTTAAGTGGCTGCGCTAGGCAGAAAGCAGGACCAGTAAGGACTCTAGACTACTGGTATGGGTTTTAAACGTCATTGTTCTGGTCGATAAATCACCGTTCTCTCGTTGGCGGTATCATCACGTTATACATTAACAGGACACACAGGCCACAAGTTATAACAAAGTCATATTAATTGAATAATCAACGGGAGTCAAGATTATCTCATCTTCAACTTGAGATTAATCATGTCAGCAGAGAAGTATCATTAACCAGGACTTAGGATATTTATTTCTAAACGAAAAAGTATTTGCACAGTGGTAAAATTATAACTAAGGTTCCGACTGACGAATCTTCTCTACAAATATTTACTAACGTCACATTCAGAACATTATGTGATTATATGAATATTTAACTGTTACCAGTCTATAAATTACTACTACTGTTACTAATATTTGTAAATTTATATATTGTCTTAAGGTATCTCTATGTTAGAGCATCTAATTCATTGAAATAAATTTTTGCAAGTTATCTTATGTCGATAATTCGTTATCTCTACTTGTAATGAATATTTCAAGTGCTTAACATCAGATTCTACCTCATTTTGATAATTTATCAAGTATTGATATTGAATAGTCAGTATCACATTTAAAAAGATATGTCATTGATAGTGTAGTGAACGAGAATATAAGTCAGGACAATCGAATGTATTTGAATACACAAATTACAAAATATCTTCCTAATATCCGAGAATCATACAGTGAATCCTTAACTTGCAAAATATCAATCAATTATCTTAAAATTGGCTGTTCTTTCAATTCTATACCAATTACCTTTCAGGTCCCATTCTATCCTTCTTAATATTCTTTACTTTCTATTATCAAACATTCTATTCCTAACTAGTGTTGTATACTACTTATATCGATATAAGTAACACACATACACACGCACATCACAATAGATCATACATATATCAATATATAGCTTCCCTTAGCAACAGAAAACATTCAAAAAAAATACATGGATACACAAACTGTATCCATCAATCAAAAATAATAAAAAAACAAAAAATAAAAAAACATTTCTGTTATTTCCATTTATTATTAATATTTTCTTTTTTTTAATTCACAATCAAATATTTTTTTTAATTCTTTACGAAATCTTGAACCAACAGCACAATATAAATAAAAATTTATAGCATGATTTATATACATTAATACTTCAGCTATATTATCAAATAATTCTAATAGTATCATATTATGTATAAGAAATTGTTGTTTCCATGTTAATAATAATTTAATTAATACAACTGGTGCTGTTGTCATTAAAAATACACATGAGATTAACATTAATAATATAGTTAATTGACGCATTTCATTAGAATATAAATGAGATGATCTTGTAATTAGATTAATTGGTTTATTAGTAATACCTTTTACATGATGATGATGATGATGATGATGATTATCGTTGTATGGTTTTAATTGCATATTGACACTTGGATGTTTACATTTACATAAGTTCCTATCAATCAGACTATGATTAGTTGTATGAAATATATCAATATTATTATTATTATTATTATTATTATTATGTAAATCATCACTATGGCAACTATTCAAAGAATCAGTACTTGGACTATATGGTGTAATCATTTGTAAATGTAATGTTAAATGTTTTCTATTATATAATGATGATGATGAACATAAAGAAGATGATTGATTTTTAGAATGAACAATTTGATTCATTTTCATTGATAAATTACGTAATTTTTTATTATTTTGATGATGATGATGATGAATAAGATTATTATCAGTAGTATAATGATGATATAAAAATTTTGTCGATGAATATTTACCAATTAAATGAGCACGTTGTTTTGTAGCCCAACGTATATGAATTAATATAATTATATTTGATATTAATATAATAATAAATGGTAAATAACTATATAATGTAGCATCAATCCATATCCATATAGATTGAAAACCATTTTGTTTAAATATAAAATAAAAATCACATATTAAATTATCATTTAAATCATGTAAATTATTATTCAATAATTGTATAGTATTATTATTAATATTGAATTTTAAATAATAATCATTAGTTGCTAAGGGAAAATTTGTATTATTTTGATTATAGTAACTAGAATTTGTTGTTACTAAGTTAACAGTGATAAAAAAATGTATACATATTATTGATGATAAAATACATAAAATAATAATTGATATATATGAACGTTTAATACGATTAATACAAATTGAATTGATTGGTGATATAACAACTATAGTACGTTCAACAGTAATTAATACAATAATCCATACAGATATATAACTTGTTGTCACTCCAATAAATTGTATTGATTTACATAATAACCAATGTTTATCTTCTATACGTATAAATAATAATTTATCTAACCATCTACGTAATAAACCAATACATAATACACCTTCATCAACAATTGCTAAAAATAATAAATAAATATGTGTAGATGGATATAATGTAGTACGTTTATAAAATACTAAAAATGAAAATAAATTACCAATGGTACCAATAAAAAATATTAATGGTGGTATATAATTCCATATTAATTCAATTGTTTGACATATCATCATTATAACAGATAATGGAATATTAGTATTATTATTATTATTATGATACATTGAATCATATTGTACAGGAATTAATAAAGTATTCAATGGAGCATTATTGTTGAATAGATTCAATGGATCATTTTGATTATTTGTTGAATAAACATAAGATGATGATGATGATAGATTAGTAGTAGTCATATTGATATATCTTTCTAAAAGGTAATCAGTAGACGATAATTTTTCGATATTATCTGATTGATTATGAATGAATCCAATCGTTGATAGGAGGATTGATTCGATAAATGATTTTTGTATGATTGAATGTTTTATATAATCACAAACAAAATATGAACTAAATGAAGTCATCTTATTGAATTGATTAAATACAAAAGGATAGAAACAAAAAGAATTTTTCCTTAGTAACTAGATAGTTTTTATCTTACTTTATATTAGAAACTAAGTTGATCCTTTGAAATGAATTCACTAATGTACAAGTAAATTGTGGTAGTTTCATTTGATTGGTCAAATGAATTTATGTGAAATAATGATGTGATTGGTTAATTTAGTGGATTATTCAAATAGAATGTAGTTTCAATTTTGGATAGAATTGGATGGAAAGTGCTGGTGGGCGGCTTATACTCCTTGGAGAGGGGTAGCAGAAATTAGTAAGTAAGTGAACCGGCAACTAATTCACGTGTAAGGAAAAACTGTCATTGATAAAATATAAGTTAATTCTATATATATATATATATATATATATATATATATATATATATATATATATATATATATATATATATATATATATATATATATATATATATATATATATATATATATATATATATATATATATATATATATATATATATATATATATATATATATATATATATATATATATATATATATATATATATATATATAGTTTCTGACCCAACACATACATATTCAGAATGAAAGTACAGTAAATTAAATCCACGAAACATTGACTTGTGAATATTTGGTGGTAGTGAGATTGTAAACTGTTGTGTCACGATAATAATAATGAGTGGTAATTTTTTGGGATCTATTTATGGACTAATGCTGTGCGTATATTTTTGTCGTATGATTGTTAATTAACTAAACTATTCATATTAATATTCCTCTTATTATAAGCTTTATTTTAATCTATAGACTATTATTATACGATTTCCCATTCTTGAATTATTCCCTATCTATTAATCACTACCTCGCACATTCACAGCCACATTTGGCCAAATCTTGTACAAATGCTGTTTTCTGTTTTATTGTACGTTGTGGTCTGCTTAATTGGTATATAAACCCGGTCTGTTTGAAATAAATGATTCATATCGCAGAGGCTGAGGTTGGTGTTCTGGACTTAACTGGCTGAGCTAGGCGTAAAGTAGGACCAATCAGGACTCTAGGCTACTCGCACGTGTTTTACGCGTTCTTGGTCCAATCGATAAGTCACTGCTCTCCAATCTGAGGTCATAAGTTATAACATAAACCTTTGATTTTTTTATTTATGACTAATCATTCTTATTAACTACATCTCAAAGTTATTATTCAGAATAAGACTGCAACTTAGTTGTCAACTGCATAAAGACCTGGTGTTTGCAGTGATAAACACAGTGTTTCATACCTCAGCGTGATTATCAACACTTACAGTTAATTCTATTTGTCTTCCTGAATCCTAATGCTGGCTACAATCCATAATATAATCGTTTCAGTTTTTTCACAAAAAATACATCACAGTTAAACGAAATTGAGGAATTATTTCTCATAAAGGCATTGTATGCTTACAAACACAGTGGAAATCGATGACTAATGAAGACATGATTACAAATGCTTATTGCCTGCTTGTAAATATTCTCTTCTAAAATTTATAGTCAGATATTTTTTATAGTAATATCATTGATGAATACAAATGTAGCATATTTTGATCTACGAAACGATTTCTCAAGATCAGTATAAATTCGAATGTATTTTCAATAGTGTTTCTACTGAATATATTTGTTTCCATTATACATAATGTATAATACAGCTATTTGTAGGTAGTTATTCTTTAATAGTTGAATTTTTTAGTCGATTTAAGCTAGACCACCATTAGAAAACCTGGAAGCACTGGACAGCCATATCGTCCTAATATGAGACTCGTGAGAACTTTGCGTTAATATCCAACGGTGTCAATGTCTAACTTCAACCAATTCACGATGTCGTGCGACCGTCCACCAATGTTTTCAGTGAGTAACTACTTCACAACATGCACTGTAGAACTACACTGATCACGGTTTCTCACTAGAACTGCAAGAAATACCTCTTGAAGCCAGTCACTGCTAAAAAAAATGATGGTTCTTATCAGAATGAGGGTTTGTGGAGATTTTAGTAATTTAATACCATCAGCAACAGCCTGTTGTGGGAGAGAACAAACCAACTTCCAGCTGAAGAGGAAATTAGGAAAAGACGATGGAAGTGGATAGGACATACACTACGCAAATCGTCAAACTGCATCACGTGAAAAACCCTAACTTGGAATCCTAGAGGAAGACGGAGTAGAGGAAGGCCAGAGAACACATTACGTCGGGAAATAGAAGGAGATATGGAAAGGATGAATAACAACTGGAAGGAGCTGGTAAAGATTGTCCAGGACAGAGTTGGACGGCGAATGCTGGTGAGCGGCCTACGTTTCTTTACGAGGCGTAACAGGCGTAAGTAAGTAAGTAAGTAAGTAATATTTGAATTCATCAGACGATATAAGTCAGACAACCATGGAAAACCTAGAAGTAAGACCAAAGATTCAAAGTTCGATTTGCATGTTCAGGATCACGGATGCGCATCGCCGAGGAGTTCCTTACTAGGAAAACTTGACCATCCAGTACCTCTAGGTTTCCCACGGTGGTCTAGCTTAAATTCACTTATGAATTCAACTATTAAATTGCTACAATCTTCACAAACCTTCGTTCTGATAGTTATTCTTTAACAAAAACAATGGTTCTTCAACTTTTTATGTTAAAAAGAAATCTTGTAAACTAATTTTAACACTTGTCAATTCTAGTTAGAAACGGTACAGCTTCTATTTCTTAGAAATATTAGTGTTCATAAAATATCAGTCAATAGAATCAAATGTTACGTTTAAGTGTTACATACCTTTCAAGAAACTAAATATTTAACAAAATGACATATGAAAGTGTACACGGAACTATTATTCTTATATCATTAGTAGTGAAGCGTCCAATTTATCCTGTTGTTAATATTAGAAGGCCAAAGTTTAGTTAGTCTTTGTAGATTTCCTCAATATGATGATGATACAGTCATAAGTTATTTTAAACAGATAGATTATGACTAGAAGTAGAATCTACTATTCTCATTTAGTCTTATTTGGGATCTATTAGATGAATTTACCTACAAATCATCTTTGATTTTCACATCAGAACTCGAATCCAAGGCTTTTCACTTTCAGTGAGGCTGACGAACCTGAAGTAGGACGAAATGCATAACATAGATTTGTTCTAAATTATGATTATTAAGTAAAGTAAAGTAAAGTTTATTCAGAGTTTATACATATTAACATTATAATGTAACTTAACATATGTGATGGTCAAAATAAACAGAACGGGTTTGTTTTTTTTAAAAAAAAATATGTGATTTATAACCTCTATCAAAGATATAGTGGAAATGATCATAGAGATTAAAACAAATTTATCTTCTTATGTAAATACTTATGGCATTGGACACAATATCAAACATTACAATAGTACAGTATTTAATTGTATTTTTTCTTGAAAAAATGGTAGGTAACCATATGGTCTACATTGATCAGTTCATATGAAAACTGAACAAGAAATAAGCTGATATTGCTTAAGGCAAATGAGAGAAGACTAATAACATAATTCAGAATTTATGATAAATCAGAATTATTTCTAAAATACAATGAGTCATACACTTGATTAGCCCCCAAATGCCTTGGTACGCTTGAGAGTGGGAAGAGTCCGATCACCCTCTCTGAATGCTCTTACATGTCCACGCGTATATAGCCTCTGTCAGGGAAGTCTTATTCACCTCCTTCTCGTGGCGGCGGTGTTGTTTACCAAATTGAGAGGAAGAAAATCAAATGTTCAGCGCTTTAACCAGATTAGTGGATATGGAGGATTCACTCAGAAGAGTTAGAAAACCCTGATTCCAAACCAATGATGCACATGGGCTGGCTCCAGTATCCTGATGAAATAAATGGTGTATGAACCTATTGTTGGTTACCGGCTACCATAGGACTGCATCTCCTTACGTTGCTCCACTACCTTGTGGATCAGACCTTCAGGTCGAAGGCTCGGGGAGTGGCCCCCTAAGAAAACCATATGCTTTGGTTTGGGCACCCGGTCAGTATCACAGCCCTCACACATATCAAATGAGATCTGTGTGGCGCATATGCATTTGGTTTCTCCTTGTACCAATATCTATGTGTTAAAATAAATAACACTTGAGTTACTTTACTGGATAGTAGTCAAATTTAAATATATTGAATTAGATAATTAAAAATGGTAATTGGTTTAATAACATAATCGATAAGTCTTATCGATTGAACGCTATATTAGTTTCCTAAGCTTTTGCAAGCGATTTCTGGATCACCCCAACAATAATACTGGATAGGATTGATTATATCATAAGATTACATTGTTATTGTTATATCCCGATGAGAATTATGAACGGTAACTTTTGAGAACTATTTATGGACCAATACCATACATATATTTTTATCGTATAATTATTAAGTGGCTAAACTATTTGCATTTTCATGTTCCTTTTATTTAAAGCTTAATTTCGATCCATAGACTATTGTTATACAATTTGTCATTCTTGAGTTATGCCCTGTCTATCAATTACTGTCTCCCTTATTCACAGCCACATTCGGCTAAATCTTGTACAAATGTTGTCTCCTATTTTACGGTACGATGTGGTCTGTTTGGTTGGTATATGAACACAGTATATTTGAAATATATGATTCATATCTCAGAGGTTAAGATTGGTGTACCGGACTCTAACAAGCAGGACTAGTTAAGAAGAAGGATAGATAAGGAATGTAGACTGCTCTTACGGGTTTATGCGTCATTGTTCTGGTCGATAATTCACTGTTCTGTAATTGGTGGTCTCATTACGTCATATATTAATAGGGGCACAAGGCCACAAGTTATAACAGTTATAATCGATGAATATAACTAGTCTACTAATTTATTCAATTATTCCTTCCTAAAGAATTTCTACAATACTTCTGAATACATCACTCCGGTCTTCTTCTGATGAAGCAGCGAAAATGATATGGAGTACGCTAAGGAGATGTTCTGAATAGTACTAATATCTTACCGTCATTGAAAGAAGTATTATATATATTCTTACTTCATTGCTTGTGAAACACTAATATTGAAAAGAAGTATTCTCAAACTTTAAAGATATCTAAATATTGATA